CTTTGAGGACGGTCGACATGATGCCATGATCAGGAATGGCAACGAAGCTAGATTCACCAAGGACTTGTTCTTGCTCAAGCGTACAATCAAGGCGCACATCGTACGCCTCGGCAAGACGTACTCCATCGTGTCCTCTCACACGTCTTTCGTTGCGGTGGATGAATTTGGCAAGAAGTATGCAGGGCCCCCACCGCCCCGTGGTCAAACAGCTAGCGCGAGTACAGGCGGGGATCACAAATTGTGGCTCGGGACGTTGTCGTGTATGGGGGAAGTCCACCCCAACAGCAATTGGTACCCACCAAGTCGGCCGAGGGCGCGATGACGTTTGACTATGACGAGTTCGACTTCGATGAAGGATCTCAGGAAGAGTATTCCGCTCGAGGTCAAATATCGGTGAAGAAAGTCGTAAAGGTTGAGCGTCGCGTGCCTGCTGCTGGTGCGAAAGAGTCTCAGGATCCATTGGAGAGGCTTGCTAGGCTGCAGGCTTTTGATGGTGCATTCTCGTTGAAGGCTCTACAAGTGGTCAAGGTCGATGAGAAGAAGGCGAAGGCGGCGTTGCCTACTGGGTTGCAGGACGAAGTGGTAGCCACCATTTTTGCTATGGCTTTCATCAGAAAGACTATGAATTCCATCAAAGACGCTGATGAGAAGGCGCCTTGGGAGGGTATATTTGATAAGGCCAAGATGTATATTGAAGCTAGCGGACACCCTGTCGATAACTTGATTGCCAAGGCGTTGAAAGCTCTGTAGTTTGGATCTGGACTCTTTCGTGTACAGTAATTTTAGCTTGTACAAATGATACGATTTTGGCTGGAATGCGACTTACGTGGAACGTGCGCGGTGCGCCGAGATTGCATCCCAAATGACCGCAGCCGCCTAACAGTCTCTGATTAATTGTGTTTCCAAGCAATTTCCAAGGACGCATGAACAGTCTGGGACTCCGATAGGTACGCACTCAGCTCGTTGGACTCTGCCTCGCTGGGGCCCGGCGATTAAGTAGATAAATGATAAACCCGACCCAAGTTTCAACTTCACTCGTCCGACCTCATCAGGGACCATGCACTTAGCGCCTAACGTTCGTGCGCTTCCTAAGCCTGCTCTTAGGTTAATTGATGTACCCTACGTTCCCCCGACATCGGGTCGGAGCAGGTCGTCGACGTTCCTGGCTGTGGCGCAGAAAGTGCACCGTGACTTCAGTAGTCGTGAATCGCACAGGGATCACACAGTTTTGGAAGGTAACATTGTCTGGTGTCCATTACGCGATTTTGGATGTCCTAAAATTAGTGGAAGAGGTACTACTACTACAGTAGCGGTTGTGAATATGAATTGATTTGTTAGTGAAGATAAGTAGACGCAAGACACTTGATTGTATCACAGAGTACAAGCAGTATTTGCAGTGCGCAATCAGTTGGGTGGTCTGGAGAAAAACTTCGGCGCTACTATGTCTCCGCTGTCCCGACATAACTATGAAGATTCGATTCTTTTGTGACTGGCATTAAGCCAAGCGTACCTAAGATGATCTCATCGAAGGTTGCTGAATGACTATCCGTAAAATTGAGCGTCGAGCTCTGAAGACGAAGCTCTTTCAACCGATGCGAGCTGTCCAACGTCTGTAATGTCTTCATGGCACAATCAACGCTACGAGACGTCTGAGCCTCAAGTTCGAAAAGTAGATGAATGGAGGTCAGGTGTTTCAGCGACGAGAGGTTGAGCGGAGCTACAACAAAGGCTCGAATCAGTAAATAGGTCATGTTCATGCGAAATGGACAGACCGTCGAAAGAGGGAACCACCAAGTTGAGGTGCGTGAGTGTTTGCCAGTTGGACCTCATCAGCGATTCTACCGCTGACGGCCCGCCGGTGGACCACCCTGCAATGGTGTGTATATCCAGCGTCTCCAACCTACGACAGCGCGACTGAAGCCATTCAAGGAGATCAGTGTTCCATCTTCCACCCAATGACAGGCGAGAGACAGGAAGAGTTTCCGAGGTGTTCAAATGGTAGTCAGTTGGTGATAAGTACATACGTTCCAGATTGATCTCGATAGTCAGAGACCGCAAATGCTTGAAGCGCAGGACTGTAGTGAGGAACGTACACAGCTCGTCAGCCGGTTCTATCCAACTCGTTTCCGGGTCGTTACAAGGAACAACGTGGAAGGTTAAGCTCTGGAGATCCGGGTATATGTGAAGAAGATGGGGAGTGAGCCGACCACGGCGCCAGATAGTCGCTCTCTGCGGCTGAAAGCCCTTCAATTTGAGAAGGTATAGCAATCGCCACTGCTGGCGATAACGCTTCCCGCCGAACTCGATGCCAGTACAGTCAACCCATGGGGATAGTGTTTCCAATGGCGAGCGTAGGAGGCGGCCCAACCGAATAGTACGTTCGTGAGACGTAAATCGGAGTATATGCAACTGCTTTCGACTCGCGGGCACCCATGCAACACAAACGAGGCTGCAGGCTAGTAACAGAGACTGATCCTCGCAGAACGCAATGATGATGTCGCAGAGTTCCCTTGGAAGAATGGGATGCTGGGCGATGATAGGAGGACTGGACCGTTTCATGGCGAGGCGCAAAGACTGGATGAGAGGAAGAAGAATGACCCTATCTAGGCAGACGTCGCCGTAGGCTGTAGACCATTTCAGGATGATCATCAAACAATAGAAAAGCCAGTACAGGAGCACAGCTGGAAGAAAAAGGAAAGCCACGCTCCAAATCAAAATCTCCTCCGACCCTCTTCTCACCCCACGAAACCAGCATACCACCGCGACGATAACGATAAAGGGTCCTATGATACCGACCACGCGAGCGGCACTGTGCGTACATCCTTTGTGCGCAGAAAATCCTGCACTATCCTCTCCGTCGCATCTGCAGGCTGCGAATTCGATGAGAGGATGCGAAGTATGATTGCGCCAGGTAGAGCAAAAGTCGGTCATGGGATAAAGCAGAAAAGGACGGACAGTTGTCTCGGATGATCACTGGCTAGTATCTAGCGGAAGGATCAGTACCTAGGTTTATCCATCCACTATCACCACTACCTGTTAGATGGGGATACTCGCGCCGTGAATCTTCGCGCCTTTAAGACGGAGAAGACGAAGGACACGCCAATGCTGACCGAAATGTTGTCCGCTAAAACGGACGACATGCATGCAAAGCGTCTGCAAAGGAGACCTTAGTAGGCTTCCCAGCCGCGCCGTACGTTAAAGCGTCGTGACGATCGACATATGGTGCCTGCTCGTCGGTACCCAGGCGATAGAAACGAGGCTGCACGCCAGCAACGAGTATGGATCGTCGCAAAGCGCAATGATGGCGTCACAAATCTCGCGAGGAAAGATGTCGCGGGATGAGTTGAACGCCGACGCAGTGGTAGGCGCCGGTAAGCAGGATGGGTCACCAAGGCGTCGAGAACGAGATTGTCTAATGGAGGTTTTGGGGAAATCAAAGCCCACTATTAACAGTAGACAACAGAATGTCGCGGCGTAGAAGCTTGCCCCGCATTGCAGACTTGTAACATGCCCGGCTTAAAAAACCTCGCCCAACGCCCAATTCTGAGCGCGAATACGGATGCTTTTGGAAAGCGCAAGTCCGGGACCCGGGTTGTTAATCAACGTGACATAGATCACGTGTCGTGACCCGACAATCTCGGCCGCGCACGAATCACTTTGGTTATCTCTCACCTTGGCAGCTAGCTATAAATGCCTGGGACATCGTGTCGGACTACCACCACGTCGAAATGAATCTCTTTCCCAAGGTACGATATTTCACTTTTCTCCCCCGGATTCTCCAACAAGATTTGCATAGCATGAACTCCAACCAATAAAGGTCGACGAAGAGGGTGGCTGGCATTTCTTCGACGGCGCGCTGAAGACCTACTTTATCGGCGCTGACGGAAAGGGAAACTTCACCTCGCGTCAAATATTCAAGGCCAACAACCCGCACACGGGCGCGGGGCGGAAGAGCACCGCTACGCGTACGTACTAGGACCACCCGCGTTTTCTGAACCCTTATGAAAGACCTCCCCCAGCGCCGTACCATTGGCACCTATACCAAACGGAAACATTCGATGTCAAGTCCGGCGTGCTCTGCTACGACCTCGACGGCACGCTCGGTAAGCTCACTGCTGGGGAGACGGTCACCATCGCCCCCGGGCGCTACCACACCTTCTGGTCCGACCCCGACTCCGGCGTCGACCTCGACGTGCACATCAGCGTCCGCGGCGGCCCCAACGCCGGCTTCGACGAGGTCTTTGTGCACAATTTCTACGGCTACTTGAGCTCGTGCACGATGCAGGGCCTGGCGCCGAATCTGTTCCAGATGCTCGCGTTCATGGACCATGCGGATGTTGTGCTGGTCGACTTCCCGCTGTGGACGGGGAGGTTGGCCAACTTGGTCATTGGCCGGTGGATTGGGAGGGGCATTGGCGGGTATGATGTTGAGTACAAGGTGTTTGACGAGAAGAAGGACTGATTTTGTCTCTGTTACCTTGAATAAGGGAGTCTGTGTACTAGTCAATCTTCACCAGGTCTTTGGAAGGTGGTTCACTGTGAAAGAAATCATAGTAGACACATTTGGAAAGGATACACCTGTCCAAAAGCACTATTGCATAGGGTGGTGAAGTAAACCCTTGGTTTTGATACACCTCGGGTTTACTGCGGTTAGTAACGGTATCGATACAGTATTGAAACTGTCAGGGGTCGGGAGGTAGGTTTCGATACCGGCACGTGATCACTTCACGTGACGGCGCGCTGGTGCTAAGAGAAGCTGAGAGTGGCGGGACAAGGGCGGGATGAGGGCGGCGAGCCGCTGCGCCACATCACGTGTTCAAAACACGTGCCGGTATCGAAACCGTTACTAACGGTTTCAAAACCAGGGCCTCCCGGGGGGTCGGTATCAATACCGTTACTAACACCCCCGGAGGTTTACTGCGCCACCCTACTATTGCAGATGGGATTGAAATCCTACATCAGGTAGGAAAAAATTCCAGAGGGCGGTACATTCGGATACGGGGATTCGTCGGGGAATCGAACCCCGAGCTGCCGCGCACTCCAGTCGCCTGCCTTGTTGTTTATGAGAGGCGGCAATGTTAGCCATTACACCATATCCGACAGCTACTGTCGGAAGAGCCACAGCCTCCGCCCTAGCTTGTAGGGAGTTTTCGCTACTACTATGACTTGCTGGAGTAAAATTTATAGGTTACTGTTATATTCAAGTTATAACGGCAAGTTAACACGTCGCGGATGGACAGAGGAAACAAAAAGTCACAGTGCTGTCTCGATCATTTCATTCTTCTTCGCGCTGCCATCATCACGATCCCGAGACTTATCTTCCAGTCTGGTACGACTACTTGTGTTTTAACCATCACGGTCTGAAGTTGTTCTACAGCTCCACTCGACCACCAGGACCGCCGTTTGGACAAGAATCAGTTAGTACAGTGGCAGGTCTTCTCTTCTTGACAGGCAACAAAGATGTGCATGCGTCCTTCAAGAGTCACCATCGAAGAGTTCGGCACATTTTGACGACATGACCTCCTTTCATAGTCCTCTCCGTCCACCGCGACGCTTGTTTGTCTACCCAGGAGCAGGGTTTCTCCTTTACGACCATCCAGGTTCATCTCATAGCATAAAGCCTATACAGCGACGTTTCCTCAAAACACTAAAGGTTTGTGAATTACACAGCCTCCGAGCCATCCTTGTAACTTACAGGTAAAAAAGTTGCCGAGAACTTTTTTCCGCCAACCTAATTCTTTCCTTTCTTCGGAATCGATGTCAACAAGACTCTGACAAGAGTCGACAGGTTTTCGAGTCCTTCTTCCACCACCACCACGATCAAAATCATAAAATCGTATTCTCGCACTGTTTTGTGGTCTCTGCCACTGGCGTTGCGGTAAGTAAATGTCTTCTGTTCCAAACAAAATCCTGGCGAGGTGAACGCGTTGGTCACATAAATATCCTGGCGAGGTGAACACATTGGTTACATACAAAAATTCCTGGCGAGGTGACGTGTCCACTAGTTTCCACCTGGCTTCATGGCATCATCACAAAAAGGGACAAAAGCATATAAGGTGTCGGATGACTTCTGTAGGGATACAGGGTAGCATCGAACAAAGTATTAGCATACATACTTGTTGAGTGTCATCAATTTATTCTACTGTATACTTTAATTCAATTCGTCAGGCCATGTGACGTGTGACTGGCCTGACGAAAATTTGAATTCGTCAGATTACTATATGCGGTAATAGCCGCCGCTCCGCCGCGGCGGCGGGAGGACGGCGGGGGCCCCGCCGGGCCAGTTTTCGCGAAATTTTGAGTGACAAGTGTGACATTTCGTCAAATCCAGGTCGCCTGTGACCTGTGACTGACGAATTGATTAAAAGTCTACAGTATCCCACTATGTAGGGCACTATCTACTTGGTTGCAGGTCAATAGATGTGATAGAGGCTGATAGAGGCGAATAGAAACTATCCGTGTCATTCACATACACGTAGCAATGCTACATACAGGTATGCAGCACGTACACATGTCAACTTGAAGCTAACATAGGGCCTGCATGTTAATGAATGTGCTATAAACAGTCAAGACACAGCGGGGCAACAAATAGGACTAGTACTGAGGATATCCTAGTTCAGTCGCCGATGTTCTGCGAGTGGTAACTTGGTGGTAACTGGTTAGGGTCCGGTCGGAGTTTGAAAGGGCGTGAAAGTCCGATCGGAGGTCCCTTGCTGCTTGACCTCGAACCACCACCATCTCGTTTCGACCTGGTTTCGACTTCAACGTTCAAGTCGTTTCTGCCGGCGGACCCCTTGTTGTCTGTGTCTCGCCTCAGTGGTGCAACGCGCATCGTGATCCCTCGTCGCGTCACAATGCTACATTCATCGTGTCCGCGTCGCGTCGAACGTCTCGCTCAGTACAATCAGGCCCGTCGTCGTCTTCCGCATCCCGTTTACCCCATACGCCTCCTATATCTCGCCGCGCACCGTCACCGCCGCGATAGCCACCACCAGAGCCACTGTTGGTCGATATGCACAGCTACGTTGACAGGTAGCTGCTCAGGCTGCTCGCTTCATTGCTCACACAGATTGCAGCTACCAATGGTGCCCTCAAAGACTCGTCTTACGCGCCCCCGTCTCATCCCCATTATCCCAGTGGCCTCACTACCGCATCTCTCCACTCTCTGGCCAATCCCTGCTGTACGCTCACCTTCCAAGCACGTAATGACGCTCGAGCGACGAGGCTTACCTCCTCCGCATCCTGAAATACTGTCCGACGCCCAATGAGGTCTTTCTATCGCTGCTCGTGTACTTGGCACACAGTCATGACTGCTGCCGGACCTTGTTATCGTCTGAGGCAACTCCACTGACCCGCTCAAGGGCAACCGCGATAACGTCGGCCTCTCCGTCAAGTACCCGCCCAGCAAGTCTTCGCATGTCCAGGTTCAAGGCTCGCCTTCGGCATCTGAAATGACGCATATATCTAGCTGTTTTCTTCTGCTTCGGCCGACCCTAACGACCAGCCTGTCATGAACGGGGCATCTGCAGTCTGCGGCTATCCCGTAGGTCCATCATCCCGCGCTTCACCTTTGCAATTCTCAGAACGACACTATGCTTCACAGTGGTGTCTCTCTACGCGCGCATATTGTCAAACTCTGTATCTGTATCGGGGAGAGCAACGTTAATATTGTACACGGTAGTTACATGCAATCGACACACCTGTATCGGAGAGAGCAACGTTAGGGGCTCTCTCCGATCAGGCAGTAAACTAAAACAGAGACGAAAACGGTAAGTAAACTAGAACGGAGACGCTAGGCACTCTCTGACACCCCCCCTTGACGTGCGTCGCAGTTCAGTCTCAACATCTCGACCCAACGAGCATGAAGAAGACGATGTAGCGGTTTGGTGAATAGATCCGCGATGTTTTCCTTGTTTGAAACATGGATCACGTCAATTAGACGTTTCATGACACAGTCGCGAATGAAGTGTTCGCGAATGGCGATATGCTTCATTTTCGAATGAGCATGTGGATCGTGTGTGCAGGCGACCGTTCCTTGGTTGTCACAGAACAACGTCGTCGGCTGAATTTGAGGGAATCCTAGTTCCGTGAGTAAATTTCGGAACCAGAGCAGATCTCGTGCGCAATGAGTTGTCGCCAAATATTCCGCCTCGCATGATGAGAGTGCAACGACGGCTTGCTGCTTCGAACTCCAAGACAATGGGGAATCTCCCATCATGATAAGAAAACCGGATACGGACTTGCGCGTGTCCCCCATTCCCCAGTCGGAATCTGTCAGCGCCTTCATAAGGGGCTGCAGCGTCTCGGAACCACCTCCTAGCGTGATACCGTATGAAGTAGTTCCTTTTAGATAGCGAAGGAGATGTTTGGCGGCCGTAATATGTGTTGGGCCATACGTAGACATGAATCGGGCAAGCTCTCGGACAGTGTATGCGATGTCAGGTCGCGTGCAAGTCGCTAGATACATGCACTTCCCGACGACGGCGGTGTAAGGAAAATCTCTGACCCGTTGGACATCATCGGGGGAAAGTGGATCGGTTTGAGGCGCGAGACGGGTCCCAGGATCCATGGGCGTCGCTACTGAATTGCAACGATTAAACCCGAACTCGCGCAGTATCGACTCCGCATAGGATCTTTGATGAAGTTTGAGTGTCCGAGTACTAACGTCTCTGTCGATAATGCACCCGAGGTGAAGTTTTGGTACACCATTGTCGGTGATCTCGAACTGAGATGCTAGAGCGGCAACGACTGCATCCGACTCGGTAGTGGTTGTGGACGCTATTAGCATGTCATCGACGCTTGCGGCGATAATCGATTGGTCCGAGCCTTGTACACGGCGATAAACACTCCAGTCTGACTCGGTGCGTCTGAAGCCAATGGCCTCAAGCTTGGAATTGAGCTCGAGATACCACTGTCGACCAGCCTGTTTGAGCCCATACAGACCTCGCAAGAGTCTCCAGAATCCACCGCCGATAATAGATGGCTTCCGCATATAGATTTCTTCATCGAGCGGGCCGTTTAAGAAGGCTGTTTTGACATCAACCTGCCTCAAGACCATGTCGCGTTCGGCTGCTAAGGCGAGTACAAGCCGAATAGATTCCCATCTGGCAACGGGTGCGAAGGTGTAGTTAAAGTCTTGACCGGGAATCTGGGTAAATCCCTTTGCGACTAAACGTGCTTTGAATCGGGAGATAAGTCCGTCGCGGTCTCGCTTGATATGCAAGACCCATTTCGAGTCGACAGCTTTGCGATCTGGCGGCAGCTCATCGATCTCCTCGTAAACACCCTTCGCTTTAAGAGACTCCAACTCTTCATATATGGCAGCCAGCCAATAAGTCCAATATAGAGATGACTTGGCTTCCTGCAGAGTATTTGGGTCTTTCGCGTCGGGATCATCGATGGGATCTGTAAGAGCTGCTCCGGCAAAAGCAACTTCAGCTCGTATGAAGCATGAGACAAGGCTTGGAAAATCTGTATCATCGCACTCGACCTCGATTTCATCGCCGAAAACAAGGACGCTATGAAGAACATCCTCCCCGCCTTCGTCCGACGTGCACAGAAAATTGACGACATCTTTAGCTGCCAATCGTCTGATACGAGCGGAACGACGAAGAGGTGTTGAGTGTGTCGCGTCCTCCATTTCGACATCGGCGTCATGGTCGGAATTCGCTTGTGGGCGTGAGTTTGAATGAGACCTGCCGAAACAGATCAGATTATGCTCAAAGGCATAGAGTAATTAACATACTCAGTACGCTCAGAGGCGGTGTTACGCTCGATGGCGGAGTTATGCTTGGTAGCAGAATTATGCTCGATGGCAATAGGCCTGCAGAACAGGTCAGATTACGTTCAAAGACGACGAGTAGGATAAACCCACTCAATACGCTCAATGGCGGGATTACGCTCAACGGCAATATTACGCTCAATGGCAGGATTAGTAGGCTGCTCAAGAACAATACGGTCGACGCCATCGTGGAAACGAGGCTCGAGATCCATGGGAATATCATCCCATAAAATATCCGATAGCGGCGGTGAAGGAAGAAACTCGGGGAAACCATGAAATTCAACGTCGCGGCGAGAGCGTATAGATTTGGTCGCAGG